TGGGATGGGATGGGATGGGATGGGATGGGATGGGGGAGCYCATGGGAGCCATTCTGGGACCTGCCCCAGCACTGGCACTTCCCCATTCCTGGCTGCCCCACAGGGCAGGGGCATCCCGTGCTCCTCCTGGCATGACAGCCACCACACCCACACAGCTCCAGCCCCTAAGCTCCTCCCCAGGGTTGCCTCTGGAGCAAAGAACCATCTCAAAAGGCAAATACTGCAGGGCAGAAGTGGCTCAGCCCCTCCAGCTCTGCAGGGCTTTCTGCAGCTCCTCACCCGGCAGTGTCGGGGCTCTCAAACCCAGAGTGTCCCGTGAGCAGGGTCCCTGATGGAGCGCAGTGGGCACAGCGATGCTGGAGGCTGCTGCAAAGCTGGGGAGCACCTCCTGTCCCCAGCAAGGACCCTGCTGTGCCTGCTGTCCCAGCCTGAGCCCCTCTCTGTSCCCAGCCTGCAGGGGAATCGCATCGGGCAGTCGGGAGCCAAGATGATCGCGGACACCATCCGGACAAACTCGCCCGACTGCGTCGTGGACGTGTGAGGGGCCCGGCTGTGGTGAGGAGGGGCCYGGGGGTCCCTCTGCCATGGGGACRCTGCAGGGACATCCCTGGTGTCCGTCTCAGGGGCAGGGAATGCTCCAGAGCTCCTGGCACAGCCCAGGAGGACCGAGGGTGTCGGATCAGGAGTGCAGGAGGGTCAAGGCTGGTCATGTTGAAAGCTGAGGGRTGTGTATGGCCACATCCCTGCTCATCCAGGCCTGGGGAGCTTCAGGGGAAACACAAAAAGGAGGGAGGAGGGGCAGATCCCATGTACCAGACCTTGTTTCTGTGGGTGGCTTAGCTGCTGGTGGCAGCTCCTCCTGTGATCTCCCTGGTGCTCTGTCCCCAAGGCCTGTGGGCTTCCCTGGCAATCCCAGATGGACACAGATGGAGAGATCTGCTGCTGCCTTGCTCAGGTGGGAGCAGTGCTGGGGACCTGGGCACTTCCAGCAGGCCCTGTGCTGGTGCTGTGGCCTCACACCCAGGCTGTGCTGGCCAGGGACAGCTCATGTGCTTGGGACTGATGAGACAGATAACCCAAGGCATAGGGAACTATCCAGAAAGGCCTTGGAAAATAAAAGTMCTCAGGAAAATGGGAGTAGGAGGGTGAATGTAAGAACTGCACTGCATGAGGATGGGGTCACCAGCACATCTTGATGCTGCTCCAGGACTGCCTGAGATCAACGTTCTGCCTTTCACRGTCAGGCTGGAGCTCTTGTGTCACCAGCTGCTGCCATCAGTGTTCTGTTACCTTGGGATGTGCCAGCCTCAGGGCCTGTCCCTAGCAAGTCACCTTTTGGGCCGGTGGCTGCTGAGAGTGGAGCTCGTGCCTTTGTGGGTGTGGCAGAGACACAGTGACTCTCCAGAGGTGCCAGGTTTGCAGGTGACCCAGCAGCCAAACTGAATCCCCTGAAGCCACTGTCCCCTGTCCCCAGCCCAGCCAGGACACACTGCCACACTCAGGGCAGCCAGTTGCTGCTGCAGGGCCCTGGGGGCTGATCAGAAGCACTGGGCTGAGCTCTGGAGTGCACATATTTGGGAATGAATCAGCTCCTTGGTGAGCAGATGCCTTGTGCAGCCTCACTGTTGCCCTGCAGGATGTTTGGGACAGGCTGTGCTCCCTGCCCTGCCTGAGAGCTCACGGCACAGGGGGCTGCTCCTGCCTGGCACAAACCCCCAGTGGCTTCCCCAGATCCCTGCTGGCTGTGCTGARGGCTGAAGGTGGCAGTGCTGCCTGGGGAGAGAGGCTCTGGCTCTGTGCACATCAGGCACCTTCCTGTGTGGGCCAACACTAGAGGAAATAACAAAGAACTGACACCCAAACTGCAGCCCCCACTGGGAGAATGGGCCTGGTCTARTGGCTCAGATCATCACAAAATGGTTTGGTTTGGAGAGACCTCAGAGCTCATCCCATCCCACCCCCTGCCATGGACAGGGACACCTTCCACTGTCCCAGGCTGCTCCAAGCCCCAATGTCCAACCTGGCCTTGGACACTTCCAGGGATCCAGGGGCAGCCACAGCTTCTCTGGGCACCCTGTGCCAGGGCCTGCCCACCCTCCCAGGGAACAATTCCTTCCCAATATCCCATCCATCCCTGCCCTCTGGCAGTGGAAGCCATTCCCTGTGTCCTGTCCCTCCATCCCTTGTCCCCAGTCCCTCTCCAGCTCTCCTGGAKCCCCTTTAGGCCCTGGAAGGGCCTCTGAGGTCTCCCCAGACCCTTCTCCAGTTTTACCTCCATTCCTTCAGTCTACCTGGTGCTGCTCTTTGTGCTGACAAGCCCCTGATTAARTAAAGGATATGTTTAGGATAAATAGATTTAAGCCAGGTTTAAAACCAATTGAAATGCATTCCCAGAGCAGCTTTTTATYCAGTTTTATTAAGCCAAAGAAATCTATTTGGACATAATAAAATGCAGGGAAATCAGGCACAAGATGCTCACTGGAGTGAGACTTCTGGCACTGCAGAGCTCAAGAGCCAGTTTAGTGTAATTATGGAAATAAGTGCACATTACTGTGATTCTCATTATGGATAAACTGCTCATGCTTTGAGAGTCACAAACCTGACAATCCAAGTTTAATTTTCACGTTTTAATGAACATTATTTACCAACTCCTGAATTCACACTGACACACCCTTTTCAGGCAGCAGGATGTTAGTTCCTGTCCTCTCCAAAGTTTGTGCTTCAAGAGGCCTCCTGCTGCTGAAGGGTCAGAAGTCATTATCACTTTGCTCCAGTGGCTCTGGCTTCCTTGCTCGGAGGTTGGATTTGCCTGGGGAGATTTCCATGCTGTCATCTTCCAGATCATCCTCCTCCTCCTCCTCATCTTCATCCAGGTCGATCTCACTGTCCCCTGAGTCTTCCTGCAGGAAAGGCAACAGAGTCCATGCCCAGCTCAGCTCTGCCATGGCAAAGCCTCTTTGCCAGCCCAAAGTAAGGGATGACGGTGCTGCTTTCCCCTTCTCTCCCAATGGATTGCAAACCTCCTTCCCCACCCTATGGRGCTGATGAACACAAATTCCCCGACTTCTTCAGGATCTGGGCTATTGAAAACCTGGTAGGTTGTGTAACATTCAGGTGATGGCTGCTGTGAGACCACAGCAGCAAGGTGTGATGGAAGACAAGGAACAGCAGGAGAGGAACCCACCTGTRCTTTGGCGGTGGCCGTGCGTGGGGCTGGCTGTGCCGGGGCTGGGGTCCCCTTGGAGAGCCAGAGTGGAGCAACAGGAGAGGCAGAGCAGGAAAAAAATGGACAAGAACATAAAAGAAAACAGRAAGTGGCTGGGCTGGGAGCAGGGGAAGGCAGAAAAGGCAGGCACAGCTCACATGTGGCACCCAGCGAGTGACAGAGGCCAGGCACACACCCCTGGCTCTTGCCAGCACCATGAACAACTCGAGGGACTCAAAGCAGCCTCACTGGCTCCACTGTCTGATCTGGGGCACGCAGAGGGGTCCCTGAGCTCTGAGACTGAAGTCAGAGGGCAGAGCCAGGAGACAAGTGATGTGTCTGCAATGGAGGGAAGCTGCAAGCTGGACTTGGCTTTCCATGCTGGACACAGGGGGGCTGTGCCAGCAGGGACAGAGCTGAGAGCAGGGARTTCTAAAGGGAACAGAAATCACAGAGGGTGACTGTCCAAATCTGTCACTAACTAACGGGGACAAGGACAATCAGGTGGCATGGGGATGAAGGTGACAACATCTGCACCTACAGCACAGCACTCTGCCCCTCCTAGAAATGGGTCTGGGTGCCCAGGAGGCAACAACAGCCTCAGCCATACCCGGTGTGGCAGCAGTGAAGAGCAGAGCACTCCAAGTTCCTCTCCAGGCACAAGGTGAAGGTGCCTGAAAAGTTGTGGCTGCCCCTGGATCTCTGTCCAAGGTCAGATTGGATAGGGACAGTGGAAGGTGTCCCRGGGTGGAACAAGATGGGCTTTAARGTCCATTCCARCCCAAACCATTCTGGAATTCCCAGAGAGGTCTGAACTGCCCTCCTTGAGACAGGCAGCACTGCTGGATGGAGGCAGAAAGGCTTCATCCACACTGGGAATTAACAGCAGCACAGGCTCAAACAAAAATCCACAGTCATCAGAGCTGTACTGTTTTCTAGCACTCTGCAAAACAATATTCCAGCATCACCTGGAGAGCCCCACTGCTCCTGGAATGCCAGCAGCTTTTTGGGATGRTGAGGAGAGCGAACTCCAAATGCCAACATATCCCAGCAGCTTCCTGCTGCAGGGGTAGGCACCCAGCTGTGCCCAGAGGCACACAAAGGCTGCCAAAAGGCTGGGCACAGACACAGAGCAGGTGCCTCCTGTGCAAACCTGTGTGCCACTCCCATATGAACCAAAGCCAGGGGCAAGACCAGGAGCCCCGGGCCAGCAAGAGTCCCGAGGGCACAGCTCACAGCCCTGTGCCATCCTCCAGAGCACTGAGGGCTGATGCTCTCAGTACAGGCCACGGGCAGGGTTCCAGTGAGTTGGGTTTTGGAGCAATGAAGAGGATTTAGGTCCCTGTATTTGACTCCTGCTGCACTACACTGATCCCTCTTCCCAGAAATCTGCCCCAGAGCTCACCACAACAGCATTCCTGCAGCCTATGTGCCACTGGTTCTGCACTGCAGGGTGGGGTGAGAGCACAAGGATCACACAGACTCCAAGAACAAAGGAGAAATAAGGAAATAAATATCTGTGCCAAGGAGAGAGCAGTCAGCCACTCGGAGGGGAGAAGCAGGGCTGGGGTGTGAGGATTCAGCAGGAAACGGTGTCTCTCCAGCTGAGGAGAGGGCTGGCATTCTAAAGCCCTGTCAGAGAAGGTCTGTGGACACATGAGGTGGTTACTCACATCTTCCTCCGTGTCTCCCCCTTGCATCGATCCTATGATCCGTGTGCCAGCTCTTCCTGCAGGAGCAAAGAGTCACCATCAAACCTGGCTTGTGGGTACAGAGAGGGAGGAGGGAGGGTAAAGTTCAGAGTGTACCCCTCAGTGAGAGGATGAGACCCCAATTCACACAGCCATCCCCCCTTGCTGAGCCTCATTGCTCAGGAGAAGGTGGGGGGGTAAAGCCAACAGCAATTAACAYTGGACACAATGACCTTGGAGTTTTCCTCCAACATTAATGATTCTATGACTCTAGTTCCAGTCAGGGTGGTATTTCCAGAGCTACTTTATTCCAGCACGGTGGTCCTGACAGGACAAGAGGCAATGGCCACACTAAAAACCAGAAAATTCCATTTGAACACAAGAGAACTGTGAGGGYACTGAAAGGCTGGAATGATGTTGCYAAGAGAAGTTGTGGAGTCTCCATCTAYRGAGATACTCAAAACCAAACTGGAGGTGGTCCTGGACAAGCAGCTCAAATCTCCTGTTTGAGCACAGAGGCTGCTCTAGATGATCTTGAGAGGTCCCTTCCAACCTCAAAAATCTGTGAACTGACACATTCCTTCCTCTGCTTTGGCAGGCAAAGAACAAAAGCCTGGTTTTAAATGTAGTGAATCCCTGGTTGTTTAGAGAGCTCAGGCCCTTTCTGATATTCCAGGGGGGACTGAATCTCACAGGAACCCCTGGCAGTGCCCAGGTAAACCTCAAGAATTCCCTGTTGGGAGTTTGATGTGCAAGGCTGAAGAGGGAGGTGGGGATCTGCAGGGAGCTCCCTGAGAAGGGAGAACACCCTGTGCCTGCTTGGCTGGTTTTGGCCACACAGAGGCCATGGGAAGATGTCAGGAGGTCTCCTTTGCTGGGGAGGGGGTCTGGGAGGYGTTGAGAATGGGAAGAGCAGAGTTGTGAGCAGGGAAATGCTGCCTGGGTGACTCAGCCCTGCTGCTGCAGCCACCAGAACCCCCTCAATGCTCACCGGATCCTGTTCCCTGTTGTGCCCATCCCATCTCACCATCTGTTCATCTCCTGCCATCACCAGCTTCCTCCACGCCAAATATGGATTGTTCCAACCTAGACAATCCAATCTGTGCTGTTTTTAGCATAAAAACAAAGCAGGTTTAAAATATACCCTGGCAAACCTTTTCTTCTACTTCCTAAAGCACAAAGGATGACAGGTCCCTTTTGTCCCACGCAGTTTGAGCTGAGTTAGTGGTGGGAAAAAGCTGCCTAACTCATCCACAGCTCACCAAA